CCAAATAGTTTTCTTTCCTCCAAATATCTAGGATGTGAAACCAGAGTTCTAAGCTCATTGATGTAAATCTGTATGGGGGGAAAAAAAAAGTAACCTTCTGAAGTAAATGTTGGAATAAACCACATTAAGCTGCTTGGGATCATCATGCAACTGTTTAATACTCAGATGAATCATGTTATTTCACTTGACTCCAGAAAATCCCAAATCTTATTTATTATCCGGGCCTCAGCTGCTCTCCGGAAGCATTTTAGCTTCTTTTGTTGATAGATGATGAATCCTCCTGGCTTCTAACTCAGATGGTTTGGGGATTTTAGTGCTGTGATTTTATACCTTTATACTACAAAAATTTCGGTCACTTTGTGCATAATGAAGGGTTTTCACCATCCCATTCATTGGCTATGATGCGGCTGCTGGTAGACAAAGGATGAAGTCAGTCCAGGATTCTGCACAGCCAGGTTCAAGTGTGGGAGAGAGGTTTCTGGTGGAGGCAGAACCTAGTGGGCTAGGAGAACGTGAGCACACTTGCCTCTGAACCACTCTCATGATTTTTGACAACATGATCGCCATCTAACACATATTAGGAGCCAGTGGCTGTAGCCTGTTGGGACGAAAGGGAGAGTACATTAGTGATTAGGAATTACAAAATAAAAACAGTCCAGCAGAATTTTATTCTACATGGAAATGAGACTTATGGAAATGAACTCAGCGCTCACCCATCTTTTCTTGTTGTTGGTTGTCAATGAGATGACTCAGACTCACGGTGACCCCGTGTGTGTCAGAGTAGAAATGTGCAGCAGAGGTGTTTCTTGGCCGTCATCCTAATGGGAGCAGATTTCCAAGTCTTTTCTTCGGCACTGCTGTGTGGGTTTGTATCTTTGGGTTAACAGTTGAAGGAATGCAAACTGTTTGTCCCACCTAGGCATCTAAAGCTTATAAAACCAAAACTAAACCCACTGTCATCATAGTGACCCTACATAGTGTTTCCAAAATTGTAAATCTTTATGGGAGCAGACAGCCTCTTCTTTCTCTTTATTGTGTTGTGAGCAGCCCAAATGCCAAATTCACAGTACCACCTAGGGAACTATCAAAATCAAACTAACTACCTTCATTTGTCATTGTTATTAAGTGCCTTTGAGTCAGTTCTAACTCAAAGAGACCTGTACAGGGTTTCTGAGGAGTGACTGGTGGGTTTGAACTGCCGACCTAGCAGCTAGAAGTACAGTGCTTATCCTACAGTGCCACAACAGGACTCCACTACACAAATTAGCGACCTTATTCATCTAGGTTTTTCCAAGATTGTAAACCTTCGTGGGAGCAGACAGCCTTGAAACTGCTGACCGTGCAGTTAGCAGCCCACTACCTAACCCATAGCACCACCAAGGTTTCTTTCTGTGTCCAAAGAAAATTTAAAAAAATAAACTCATAGCTGTCAAGTTGATTCTGACTCACAGCGATCTTGCAGGACAGAGCAGAGCTGCCCCTTTCATAAAGGCTGACATCTTTGGAAGCAGACTGCTTCATCTTTCTCCTGTGAAGCTGCTGGTAGGCTTGAACCACCAACCTTTTATTTAGCAATGAAGCTCTTTAACCAGTGTGCCACCAGGTCTCCTCATTCCAACTTACAGCTACCCTATCGAGCTGGGCTGCTAATTGCAAGATCAGTAGTTTGAATCTACCAGTCGTGTCATGGGAGAAAGCTGAGGCTTTCTAGTCCCGAAAATATTTACAGTTGGAAATCCTATACAGAGTCACTATGGGCCGGAATCGACTCGGTAGCAAACCACCACTGCCTCCACCACCATAGGGGAGAATTGAGCTGTCCCAACGGGTCCTCTCCAGAAGCCAACATTCTCATCTTTCTCTAACAGAGTGGCTGACAGGTTTGAACCACTGGCCTTTTTGTTAGAAGCCAAGCCCATTGTTTCAGCAGGGCTGCTTGCTCATGAGTCTAAAGGATAAAACTACAGAAGGACATTTCTGTCCTGGGCCGGCTTCCATGCACTATGGTCTCCTGTCCACTCAGCTACGCCTGATTCTTTCCACATCTGGGTCCCGGAAATGCATCCTGCGCCTGTGAGCACAGATCTTTCCCTCACTCCAGGCTCTTCTGCTGTTGTTGTTGTCTGTGTGGAGTCAGCCCCCCACTCATGAAGACCCCATACACAAGGGAACTAAACCTGCCCTCCAAGCTGCTCCATCCTGACAGGCCCCTGTGATCCATATGGGTTTCCTTTGACTGATTTTCAGAAGTAGCTTGATCACCAGGCCTTTATTACGTGTTTTCTTAGTCTGGAAGCTCCACTGAAACCTGTTCAGAATTCCACTGACCAGGAATCGAACCCGTGTCTCCCCCATGGAAGGAGGCCATTCCATGACTGCTCCCCGCCCTTCCCTCTAGCTATTTCTGTTGTTACTGTTGTTAAGTGCCAAGGAGTCCGTTCCTAGCTATTTCTGTTGTTACTGTTGTTAAGTGCCAAGGAGTCCGTTCTGACTCATAACAATCCTGTATAGGGTCTCAAAGGAGCAGCTGGTGGGTTTGAACCACTGACCTTGCGGTTAGCAGTCCAGTGCTTATCTTACAGCACCACACCAGGACTGCTTGTCCTAACTCATGGAGATAAACAGGGTCTGAAGGTCAGGTGCTCTGAACAAAGGCCTTCGGTGACCTTGATCCC